GCCTCAGCACACAGACCTTGCTTATCAGACCCGTTTTAATTCGCTCTTTAGTTGCTCCTGTTAGTGAATGTAGACATCAGGTTAGGGTTTCCTGCTTTGTCGGTCACTGTAATGCCCTCAGTACGCCACTGTGAACTCATACTGAATCTGGAAGCTCTGTCAAGAAGTGGAGGGCAGCGTCTCTTCGACTTGAACAGAATTAATCTGGGCTTGACCAAGGATAGCATGAGATTAATTTGGCAGCAATTTCCTACAAGCAAAGTTCATTATTTTGCAACAGATGTAGCGCAGTGAATGTATAGCCTGTATGGTAACAGGGCTCAGTGACGAGCGTTGCTTCCGTCTCAGAAGAGCTTAGTGCTGTTGATGCTGAGCCTCAAAAATGTCAGTCTCGGTGAAAGAGAAGATTAAACTCTCAGAATCAGATCTGAAGAGGGGTGGTTGGCTGCTGCTAGCTGCCTCCTCGAATGTAAAACCTGCTGCGTGAGTTCGTATGTCTTATCTGCTGGGCTATTGCTCTCTCATTCTTGGAAATACCTGGCAACTAGAGGTTTCTAAACAGGGAGTAAATGCTGGTGTTTGAATTGCAGTTATCTTCTGTTAGGCTTGTCTCATGTCTTCATGAACCTTCTGTGAGGGATTAAGGATGTTAAAAGATACTAAATTTTGATATCTGCTGTTTATTTCTGGCTGTGAGGCTTATCCGTGAGCTCTTGTGGATATCCTACATTTTATTAAAACTTTTTTAATGGCTTAGTTTGATGTAGGTTGAAAGATTGCTAAAAGAATAGAATGGCACTGTTCTATCCAAATGAAAATACATCATACATCAACATTTGATGTCAGTTTTTAACTATGAGAGCTTTTTTTTTTTAACCTTAAATTAACTAGAATGTGGGAGCCATGTTTAGAGTGTCCATCGATGAAGTTAATCTGTTTTACCAAAGACGACTGTCCTACAATGGCTTTGCCATTAGCTAGAAACAGTGAGATTTGTTGGAAGCAGCAGCTTTCAATTTTTGGGGTTTTGATCAGTTAAGTCTTTTCTATCTAGAAATTCATTATGCCTAATCTCTTAATTAACAAAATGCAGCAGAACTTCATGTATAACAGTCAGAAAATGCTAAAATTGTGTATAGTGTCAGCATAATTAATAATGCTTTTTCAAAAATACTGTCTGTTCATTTCCATAATTTCTCACATTGTCAAAATTTTACTGGATTTTAGTCAATTCCAGGTGACTGAATATAATTATATTGCTCTACAGGAAACTGAAGTCTGGGAATTGTAGCCTTTTAGAAGCTATTTGCTTTTGCTGTCACCAAATACCATCAATTTGAGATTCAGAAAAATGTAAGAGGGAGGAAAATAATGTCTATAATATTACCCTCAAAATGTAAAAAGTATTTAACGACAAATATTTAAAGTTGGCAAAGTACCAATGAATTACGAACTGCTATGTGTTATTTCTTGGTACGACTAGCTTGGAATGTATCACACTTCTGTGGTGCATTTGAGGAACCTGTGCAGATGTTTTTGTAGAGAAAAATTCACAAGTTTTCTTTAATAAATTCAATTTTGGTATTATCTCAGTGATACTGAAAATGCCACTGTACTATTGATGCCACAAAAACATTTTAGAAACATCCAAAAGCCAATTCCTGAGTTCTGCAGAAATGTTGTTAAAAATAACAAGCTGTTACTCTAAGACTGAGTTCAGTATATGGGGAAGAAAATCATTCTGTATGTATATACAGAGAGCCTGTAGATGAACAGAGAGGAGGTGCCTGCCAGGCCCAATTCCTGATCTGATGAAAAATGTGACAACATATAACTGCTGGCTTCATTGGAATTAATTATTTCTGATTTAAGCCAATGTATGAAGAATCAAACTTTAGATACTAATGTAGACATCTGTTGACAGCGTAAGAATATTTAACAGAAGAGTATAGAAACATCAAGGCTTCTCATCTGCAGGTGTGGTATTACGTACAACTCTCGTTCAAGGAATCGTGCCTTCTGCTACGCTGCTATTGCCAGAGCTGCTGGCTCGGCAGCTCTCAAACGGGAGGACACACAAGTCATCTGTGGGCAAAACTCCAGTTGCTTCACCTAAGCAGGCAGCCAGAGGCCGTGCAGAGCAGTGCTTCTCAGCTTTTTGGGTGTTACTTAGTTGGTGAGTCACGCGGAAGCTCTGAAGAGCGACCTGTGCTCACCGGAGAAAGGAGATTGCTGGGATGCAATCTGCGGAAGGAAAAGGTGAGACGGGTTCATCCACGGGCAGCAGCTGTGAGATGGGAGATGAGAAAATGTGTTTGCTGAGTGAACAGAGTGGGAACACGAGAGAAGAGTGTGCAGCTGGTCACATGCTTCCTGGAAACAGCAGAGTTAGGCAGGTCAAGACACATGACTTACGTATATTACCATAAATTTGTACGTGTAGATGGACATGAACGTGCAAATGGTGCAGATTGCTGCACAGCTTCAAAATTGAAAAGCATCACAATGTATCGTTTGCTTCAGACATTGAACTAGGCAGCTGGTGGGAGCTAATGAACTTCTTGAAGAGCTCTTGATGATTTGTACTGTCTTGCCCCACGTTCAGAGTGATTGTCCCAATTGCTTTGATATTTCAGCTACATTAGCTGTTCTTGAATTTCCAGGATACTTCTCTGTTTCTACAAGTTATAATTTATACATATTTTTACCAACAGGTTTTAAATATAAAAAGTTACTAAGCTCAAGGAAGACCAAAGCTCATCTCTGAAAGTCCTGAAAGCCTTTATAGATATGTTACAGCTGTGTATTGTGATGTGTCAACAACCCTTATGTTGTTCGCAGCTTGATTTGGGTAACACAGACCCATTTATATCGAGTCAGAAAGAGACTGGGTTTAAAGGGAGCCCTGCCCAGAAAAAAAAAAAACTAACAAAACCCCAAAATACAAACCCCAAAAATAAGATAGACAATTTTTGCTGTTTAGAAAATGAACGCATTTCCAAAAACAGTGGTTTGTACCTGTCTCTAGAAGAAAAAAGCTTGAAGCAGTGGGGCTTCGTGTGCTTCACTGTACCTCAACAAGAAAAGAAGATATCTGAGAAGGCAGATCTTTCTTTGGCAGGGAAGGGGCAACGAGAGTCCTGCCAACCAAGTTGTCATCTTTCATGTTTTGTTTCTTTATTCATTGGCAGATGTCTAGGGAGCTTAGAGTCTCCATATTTTGGCAGTCTCCCTTAGTTGCCCCCATTTAGGATTTTCTTCTTGAAAAATTCAGACAAAGAGAAGGAAAGGAACAAAGCCTCTTTGAGCCAAGAAAAGGAGTAAGGGATGAAGCTTTTCCTTCAGTTGGACTAATTGAAATAGTTGTCGCTTTTCCTCTTCCCTAACACTCCTTCCCCAGTCCGACAGTTTTGCTCAGTCTCTTTGCATTGATGTGGAATACCAAGTGACGAAACTGTACAAAAGGCATTTTGTAAAGCAATGCGCATGCATTATACTTTTTTCATTAATTTTATTTTTAATTTATACCAGACCATTTTAAATGTAGCATAACCACAAATACTTTTTTAGAAAATATGCTAGCTTGTTCTTTGTAACAGGCATGAGTATTAGTTACTAGATTGTTACTAGATTGAGATAGAGCAGAAGTTGTTAATGCTTGCTATTAAAAAAAAAAAAAAAAGCAGAAGCTATTTCACTTTTTCATTCAGCACTCCTGTTTCACTGGAGTACATGCAGGCAGAGATTCCGACTGGCCCAATGATGCTGTCACCTGTGGTCTGATCCTGCAAGGCACTAAGCAGTGCAGACCTCCCATCGTCGTGGTAGAAGTAAGAGCAGTCAGCACGTTGTAGCATTTGGACCTTTCAACAATCAACAGCAGCATGAGGCACAAGAAAATTTGATCTTGTATGGGAAGGGTTGGTTTCTCTTTTCACTTAAAATGTTATGCAGTAAATTCAATTTTTTGTCTTTATATGCCAAGGTAAAGCAGAGTCTTGCTCAGTAGCTCAACATGCACACTAATTCTAATTGAGAGAAGATTCAGCCACTTTGGATTTATCTACTGGCTGTGTATGACTAAAAATGTTACATGTCATTCTGACCCCAGCATATAGTATAGGTATCTGTTAATGTGAGGGTTGACCACTAGTGCATTACTCTGTAGCACTGGTTTAGAACAGAGGGTTTAATTTGATTTCAGTTAAAATTTAACTACTCTCCCACTAACTGGGTTACATGCTTTTCTGAAACCAGTTCTCTTCCTAGAGGAATTTCACGTTAAAGCTTTAAGATTAGAAAATTTTGTGAACATTTTTAAATATGTAAAAACAGTAATAAAAAGGTCAGTTCCTTCTAAAATAAACACAACATTTGAAGCAGAATAATATTTTAATAAAATTAAATCTAAGTATTCACAAAACATTATGCAGATACAGTATATACTGTATTTAAAGCCTACGGACCTTAAATAATTTTATTCTAATGTAGTCAGCTTTGGACACGAGCTAAGCTTACTCATTTTGTTATAAGAAAGTTTACAATTGTTCCTGAAAGTGATTTTACATATATACATATATATATCTCTCTCTATATCTATACTCCTACATGTAAGTGTAGGTATATACACACACTTGTGTGTATATAAATATATACACACATATGTACATATATAAAATACGCACATGCACACATACAGGAATGCGTGTGTGGTATATGTGTGTGTCCGCATACATATACACCCTATCTAGGATCATTGTAGAGGGGCCAGTCAGTAAAAACAAATAACTGCAAACAACCACCATAATAATTATAAAACAAAAGTGTGTCTTTTTTAATTGAGATTGTTAATAATTTGTATCGAACAAAAGGAACACAGTCTTCTGTATTATATAGAAATTAGATTTATTGCATTTGATTATGTTTGTGTGACAGATGAAGAGTACCTGCCTGCTCATGACAGCTAACTTCTATGATGCAATTTTTTTTTTTTTAAAAGAGTACTGGAAACAAATTATTCAATTAACGCGATTTTATGGATGCGACCTATGGTGGTACTTTCCAGTATGAGGCAGAGTTTTCCTGTCTCTTAAAATACTGCCCTACAACTGGTTTGGAAGGAGGCTGGTTTCTCTGCCCTAATTGTTTTGAACCTTGTTCTTTCTCTAGATTCAGAATCACTGTGATTTATTGTAAAAAGCTCACCATAAGAAAGATAAATAAATTTTCAAATGTGAGCTAGAAGAAGATTTTGCTTGAATTTTAGCTTGGTCAGGTAGGAGTTTTTTCTATGTGAATTACCGTTATTGGTCTCCTATTTGCTCTGAAGACATATCCACAACAAAATACTATTTCCATGACAGCAGTAAATGGTAATCTCCATGCAATGTAAACTGTAATTTCAGAACATGCATGTTATTTTAAAAAAATAAAAATATAAGGTGCCTTGAGAATGCTGGCAGTTTTACATTTGGAACATACAGTTAGTGTGTGTGTGTATATATATATATATTTACATCAGAACTGCTCAACTTTACCTTACAAGCTTCAGATTTAGGAAAATATACAGTACTTTTGCATATAATGGTATATTCCTTGTAGCCCCTGAGTCAAGTATAGAGGATTTAAATACAAAAAAAAGGAAAAACAGCCATTAAAAGCACTTACATTTTTATGTGAAGTAATAGTATAAAAGTATTATTTCCCAGGAAGACCAGGATCAGAAACATGCCTATGAAGACTCAAGATTCCTACAGTGCTTAGTGAAGATTCTGGCAAGGAAGGGTGCCTAACTGGCTGGAGATAAGTTTTACAGTGCTGTGGGGGACACTCTGCAGACTGGTCACGTTCTTCATCTAAAAAAGAAGCCAGGTTGTCTTCTGAGGCTGTGTTAAGATGCACTCCACTTGAGAGGGATTCTTTGGATTTAAGTTTTGATTTTTCAAGGTCTAGAAATTCAGGACACTGGAAGGGAGGAGAAGAAACAAGACAGTAATGATTAAATTGGCGTCTTCCAGGCTCTTGTTCTGCTCAAAATTAGCACGTTCAGATGGCTGCTGGAAAACCGTGTTTGAAAATTAAGCAGTGTACTGAAATATTTTTACATGGTACTGCATTTGATTTAATGTAATTGAATGCAATTCTGTTGATTAATTGTGGAAGCCTGGATGTCCTGTCCCCTCCTCAGACTTGCCCATATGTCATGAAGATACACATATGAACAGCCCTTTCTGAAGGACTGAATATTCTTGAGACCCGATCTAAGAGTATGGATTTCAACATTCTTGACTTTGCACTTTTGCTTCAGAACATAACTCTGGAATTGCATAATTTCGAACATTATAACCATTTGGATTCCAGTCTCAGCCTGCAGTTCTACTTCACTTTTAAACTTGGAATTTGTGGTGAAGTGTGCAGTGTGCCTGCTGATGTTTGCAGAGGGTGGCCGTATTTCTGTTCAGACAGAGATATGTGTCTATGTTTTGTGCAGGTACATGCGCAGTGGGTCTACGCTTCGGAAAACTACTGCTGTGCATTTGCTGCCCTGATAATCTTTATGCACGCGAACTGATGCTTCTGGGTGTGTTGGACTTGCTGTGCCCATATGTGTTCCAGCATACGCACGAGGAATCTGACACAGCCAAGCACGCTGGCTTTGCTTATCGTATGCTACATGATTGATCAGGGATTTCTAGACATGCAGAAGCCTGTTTGGAAACAGTATGCCACATCTCTGCCCAAGCTGTTGAACTCTAAAAATCCCAAACAAATTTGGAAAATCATCAAATTTTACCTGAACAGAACGGGGGTGAAAAATACGTATTGGGAAACACAGGTATGTCACAGCTATGCATGTGCATATTTCCAGCAGTAGCAAGGGACTGGGCATAAGAATGGCTTGAGCCCCTCCCACTTCCATATGTGTGTAACTATCGTACTGCAGCAGCTGGACTTGTCTGGCCTGTACCTTGAGGAAAACATAGTCATGATGCTTCTTGAGACTTCATGATTGGATCTATGGCAGATGCACCCATGCAGGCAGGTCTGATGATTGGAAAGTGTTTGTAGTTTGTACCTATGTCTAGTATTTGTCATTTCTACTGACTTTTGTGAAGAGCATGGTAATTAAGTAAATCAGTCTGATTATAAGATCCTTGTATGTATCTCTATGACCCTCACAGAAAATGTGGCCTCTGACACTGTGGTATCCAAGTGCCCTGTGGAGTGCTAGGTCAAAATAATAATTTCATATTCCTTGAACTAGTGAACAAGCTCCTAGATTGGTATGGATTTCTTCCATCACAAGCTAAAGAGACAAGCAAAACTCTTTTGATCTTATGGTGCATGTACATACCTGAGATGACGGACTGAAACTTCTGTCTGTTTTAATGGATGCTGCAGGCTGAAGCTTTTGTATCACCCGGTTTGCTGGCTGTGGATACTCTGCACCTGCAGTCACCATGCTATAGGCAGGTGGAATGAGCGCTGACTGCCTTTGCAGAAGCTGCAGGATGGTTTGGATATCAGCAGTCATTTGGGATTCAAGCCTACAGAAGTAACACAAAATCAGTAATCAGTTAACTCATGGTCAGGAGTAGGTATGTTTTAACATACTGATTACAGATGCATTCGAGAGGGACCTGCAGCTTATTAATAAAGCAAACTATCACTTGTTATGACATGACCATGTCTTAAATGTGAAAGAACAGAAGAGGGAGTACTGAGCCCTTCCAAAGCTTGCTGGCTCTCCCTTTCCTTTGCAGAACATATCTGCATGCTGTCTCTGATCTTTTTCGCTACATTAAGAATGAGTTCATTACTGTCTTCTTATGTTTGCAACAAAAAGTAACACCGGGGACCAGGTCTTTAGTTGAAATTAACTGTTATAAATGTACTCTCTTCAGTTCTCTAAATTGATTTGTATGGGTTGAGGATGGGACGTTATTTCTGATGCATCTGACAATTAATTCTGACATTCTCAATGCTAATATGATGCACTGAAGTAAGCAGAGAGCCACATTTGTTTTTTTCAACAGTTAGAAAATGAAAGATGCTTTCAAGTTCATTAAAAAAAATAGCCCAAGTCTCCTTACTGTGAAAATTTATTCAGTCTTTTTCAGGCCTCAGAATTACTGTCAACATTTCTGATGTTCAAATTTAGTAGCTTTTTTCTCTTCCTCCCGTCCCCTTTCAATAAATTTGTATGTGATTTCTGAAACACTTGAACTGCTTATATTGTTCATACTTACAATTCCACTGAATTGTAAGCACTGAAATGATTTTCAAATGGTCTTGCCAAGATCTGTGACAAACTCAGCAATAGGTAATGCCTGTGGTGCCTCCCCAGCTGCTGGAAGACTACAGAACATGCTATGACAGACTGTAATACAGCTATACAGCCTTCTGTATTGCAACTTGTCTTCTCTCAGAGTAAACGAATCTTCGTCAGCAGCTTTTAATGTTGTGAATGTTACTGTTGGGCTCCTGACAGCAGCAGAATTGATCCTGTGCTAATAGATTTTTGCTTTCACCAGGTGTTTCACTGTTGGATAATATTTTATATCATGCCGGAGTTGTCCATTGACTGTGTCATTTATTTATAAAAGCATCTATGAAATTAATCCGAAAGGTATGCCCAAACGATATTTAGGATGCTGTTTCTTCCTTTATCAGGAGAAGCTGGCTCTGTGGCACCAGCTCTGATAAAGAAGCACCCAAACTCAGAGGTTACAGTCAGTCATGCCCTACTCGCTCTCTTGTTCCGCTCCCTTGGGTTCTTTGCTGCTTGCAAATGTGCTGATCTCACACAAGCATGATGTGTGATGCCGCAGGGGAAAATACTGCAGCAGCAGCAGCAGCATGACACCATCCGGAGAGTTTTCGTCTGTTAAACCTGGGCCTTAATATCTCAGTGAATAAAAGGGATTTAGCATTGGAGGACTTGCATCAACGATTGTCTTTGGCTTTGATTTCACGTTAAAATTGATCCCTTCTTACTTTGTTAGCACTCGATAGGAGTTTCCCGGTACTTGAAATCAAAGAGCACCTCTGGTAGTCTTTGTTAATCATCATTGCATATATAACTTCTCCCTTTTTTCTCCAAAATTTAAAACAAGTCCATGTCATGTCACCAAAGGATGAACAAACAGGAGAACCTTAGATGTTTTGCCCACAGCCTCCATGAAATTCCAATTGCTTAAAGAGGAGAAATAGAGAACTCTCGGGACAGAGTCCTTGTACAATGGCTTTCCAGCCTTCTATATCCATTTAATAATTTGGATGTTATGCCAAGCCTTTAACTTGGCATGGAAAAGGTCAGAAAGAAGTGACTCTGCTTTTTAGTCCAGCAGGTCAGATCTGACTTAAGCAGGATAGAATATTGTCTTTTACATGCAGAGAAGACCCAGCAAGGCCCGAAATCCTGACAGCATGAAAAGTGTTAAAAATATGAGAAGAGTTAAGGACAAAAATGATTTAATACAATCTGTTACAACTTAAATCTCTGTTTATCAGCAACAATAATATTTTCCTCAGGGGTCATTACTGGGACCAGTGCTGTTTAACATCTTTGTTGGTGACATGGACAGTGGGATTGAGTGCACCCTCAGCAAGTTTGCAGATGACACCAAGTTGTGTGGTGTTGCAGACACGCTGGAGAGAAGGGATGCCATCCAGAGGGACCTTGACAGGCTGGAGAGGTGGGCCTGTGAGAACCTCATGAAGTTCAACAAGGCCAAGCTCAAGGTCCTGCACGTGGGTAGGGGCAATCCCAAGCACAAGTACAGGCTGGGCGGAGAATGGATTGAGAGCAGCCCTGAGGAAAAGGACTTGGGAGTGCTGGTGGATGAGAAGCTCACCATGAGCCGGCAATGTGCGCTGGCAGCCCAGAAAACCAACCATATCCTGGGCTGCATCAAAAGGAGTGTGGCCAGCAGGTCGAGGAAGGTGATTCTGCCCCTCTACTCTGCTCTCGTGAGACCCCACCTGGAATATTGTGTTCAGCTCTGGAGTCCCCAGCACAAGAAGGACACGAAGCTGCTGGAGTGGGTCCAGAGGAGGGCCACGAAGATGATCCGAGTGCTGGAGCACCTCTGCTATGAAGACAGGCTGAGAGAGTTGGGGCTGTTCAGCCTGGAGAAGAGAAGGCTCTGGGGTGATCTTATAGCAGCCTTCCAGTACCTAAAGGGGCCTACAGGAAAGCTGGAGAGGGATACTTTTTACAAGGGCGTGTAGTAATAGGACAAGGGGCAATGGATTTAAACTGAAAGAGGGTAGATTTAGATGAGATATAAGGAAGAAATTTTTCACTCAAAGGGTGGTGAGGCAGTGGAACAGGTTTCCCAGAGAAGATGCCCCATCCCTGGAAGTGTTCAAGGCCTGATTGGATGAGGCTTTGGGCAACCTGGTGTAGCGGAGGGTGTCCCTGCCCATGGCAGGGGGGT